GGGGTTGGGGGGGGGGGAGGGAATGTCATGAGAATTGTTCAGAGGGGTTATTGTACCCGTGAAAGAATGGATTATGCACTCGAGGGGTTTTGTTTGTTGGACAATGGATAAAATGGATTAAAAAACAATGTAATATGGAGTATCGCGGTTTTTTTTTACTCGCGCATCGTAATCTGGTTAACTGATATATTTTTTTCTCGCTGTTTGTAAAAGCGTGACGAAGATCGCTTTGCGTGAATATCTTCTCTCTTTCTCTCTGTCTGGGTTCTTTACTCTTCTTCAATTTATCGCGATACTCCGTTCTTTTTTTCTTCTCAATATCGCGAGCACCGCCTCTGCTGCTTTCTTCGAATTTCTTTTCCTCCGTCACTGCGCTCGCGAGTGACGTCAATAATGCACGCAGCTTGACGTAGCTAGCACATGTGCTCGCATCTGTACGCATGTGCACGGGAGTTGCCGTCAATCGGATCGAAACGCTTCCGCTGCCGGAGAAAGGCGCTGTTAGTTAAAAAAAAAAGGGTCATTGTCGACGCCATTGTTTTATGGCTTTATAACATCACAAAGGCATCGATAAGCTAGACAGTGGCGTAGCATCAGGGCCGTGTAATTACTGCAGGAACTTAAAGCCGTCCTGGGCACCCCCTTGAATACGTCCCCATAGTTGAGCCGTGGTTTTGTCAGGGATGCTACGTAATCCGAAGGGTAGTCGATAGGGAGGTATAAGAAAAATGTATAAACGAGCTAAAAGTTTAGAAACGTCGTTGAAGATTTGCCTTCGGAGATTTTTCTCGAAATATCCGATGAGGTCGAGGTCCTTTGCTCCTCGGTTAATTCTCACCGGTGGATAAAACTTGCTGACTTTACGTCCAGCACTGTTCGCTTGTTTCCCCCAGGGTACGAATTTCTATTTGGAGAGAAAAGCTTGGGGGCTTCCTCGCGGTATTTCTTTAACCTTTTTCTTTTTTCTCTCTCTCTCTCTCTCTCTTCGTTTCGCCTCTTTTTACATTATTCGACTTATTCGCCTTTTCCTATTCACCTCCCCTCCTTATCCACCCACTTCGCATCCCCATCCACCTACTTGTACCAGCGATCTTTTCTGTCTCTCTTTTTTTTTACTCCTCCATCTCCTCGCTTTCCCGTCGTGGCGCTCCACTCGCGAAACAGCTGGTGGAAAAAGAGAGCAGAAGTAAAAAGGCCGCTTTGCTGGCTGAAGCTGAACAAAAAGAAAACCAAGTCCATTTGTTGTACATCCTGAGGTATCTGTGTGCGCTTGCCTACGTGTATTTACAGGGCGGATGCCAACCCGTAGATGCTCTTGTAGCCCAGAAACGCCTCGAGCCAACGAGCACCTTTCTATATACCGATAGTCTTATTTTTTTTTATTTTTCAAGGAAACGGCCCAGAGAACTTCGATATTAGATGGTTACAAGAGAGACGATAGATATGAGAACGAAACACTTCGTGGATATACATTTATTTCCTTAATAAAATTCAGTTATCGGCTACGCCATTTTATTTGCAGTTTATTCTCGTATATTTGTATGCGCTCACTGTTATTTCCATTTAGTGACCTGAGGTCACGTGCACGCATATACTCCTGCTCGCAGGATCAGTCACGTGTGAATTTCTGTATCGCCTCGCATATAGAAACGGTAAATGTTTGTACTTATGCGAATATAAATTTGGCCTCTGAGGGATCACGTATTATACTTGCTATTATTATTATATTTATACACTCTGCCGTCTATCAGATGCCGTATCGGTGTATAAATAGGCGAATATATTATCTATATACCCTACATGTGTATCCTTTTCGATACGTCACGTGTATTGTTCTCTCTTATTTCTGTCTTATCGTTTTCCTCACCTGTTTTCTGTTACAGAACCTTCTACAGATTTCAGCAGACACACCGTTATACGGCCCAGGGTCTTTCACGGGAGGCACAAGAGGGAAATCTCCACCACAAAAGAAAACGTGAGTACCGATGAAAATGGTCTCGGTTTGGTTTTCGTTTTCGCTCGTGCAACTCCTCACGGTAATGTCGCTAACGATGTCGGCCTGTACCAGCCAGCCAGCCAGCCAGCCAGCCAGCCAGCCAGCCAGGACTTTACTATGCGAGCCATGGCGCACGCTTCGGTGCAACAATTTCAATGCAAATGCTCAAGCGCAAGCTGAATATGGAAAAGGGCTCGAGAGCCTTAAATTGCATAGCCCCGGTCGCCAGGACCCGATGCAGCTCGATCGAGCGAGATGCAGCTGATCTTGCTGATTCTTATCTATTCTGCTTTTGATGAGTGGCTTTCTTGGTTGGGATAAATATATATGTATATACTTTTAGAATTCTGCAAAACCTGTACCGATTTTTGCTTGATGAGGATTTTTTGATTTTTCTAAATCTATCTTTTGTTTTTCTGTTTTTTTTTTCATTTCTTTATTTACGTGACGAAAATTGGATATGGAGGGCTGACGTGAGTTTTACGTAAAACAGCTATTAAAATTGAAATCGAAATACGCGATGAATTGAAAGAGCAAATTATTTCACATGAAACGCGTGGAATATCGAAAGAAAATGTTTTCGAGTTTTCCAATATGTTTACTCCCACTGGGGACACATGTATATACAGAAGGGAAATTCGTAAATAATAACCTTTTTCATGTATTAATCGACTGTCATCAGTGGCCTTGATTTATTATCGCGATTCATGTATCATAACGGTCATAAATGTTATACGGATTTAACCCAGATATTGTTCGGTTGTTAGGTAGCGATTTATGTCACCGAAGCAACGATTCTCTTGACGTTAAACTCAAGCACCATAAGTTACCCAAGCGATCTCGGCTAAACCGTAAGCAGATTCATGATCACCCGGAAAATATACGGCAGACATGGCATTGCCAAGAATTTCCGAGGGGCTTTCGGAAGAGTTTCCAGATATAAATCACGACTCTGGATAGCTCATATTTCCACGAACGTATCTTAGAGTCACGTACATCGGCGTGGATTCATTTGAACTGTAGTCACAGCCAATATATCTATATATGCGTCTAAGAGTACAACGTGCACCGAAAAAATTGGACGTTCCACATAAAAATACAAGATCTCCAGTGAAAGGCGATATACATCATGGTTGCTGATTAAAAAATTACATTAAATTATACAGCCTCCATGTATATGGTATATCCAATACGATGTAACTCGAATTCACGTATAATTTAATATATTTGAAAACTTTAAATCCACTATTTCCATAATCCTGTCCTTAATGTAAACCAAGTCGAACGCTCCGCGTACAAGTTTCACATAGCGATTCAATTTAAATTCAAAAAGTTTACATTGCCCTCACAATCCATACAGCAGTAAGTAGTTAGGCAGGCACTGTGGTTTTTCTCAAAGTTGCCAGAATCTCAAATGGCGACAGCCGCGCGACGCTTGCGTTGGCATCGGTGTGTTAGGACCTCTGAAAGTTAGCGGACAAAGGGAAAACCGAGTCGTTTAGAAATTGGAGCAGCTGCGCCATGCTGTCTCCATTGTATTCGTATATAGATATACAGTAATGCAGCAACAGAAACAGCAACAGTCGTATCGCCATACCGAAAACCACCACCGTTCTCTCCTAGCTGTATCCGGAATGGAGGGTATAGTTGCCATCAAACGTGCCGAATTGAACTATGAGAGACGATAAAGATCAATCTCTACTTATGTGACTCAATTTCCGTGAATTTCTTCTCTCCCCGGCCGAAGCCATACCCCTGGACCAAAAGCTTCTTCGAGTATAGCCAAATGCTTCTTCCTGGACCTTTGTGATCGAACGGGTAATATCCAGGCACATTGTTGCGTATATAGTGTATATGCAGTATATATACTATACATAACCGTATACGTATTTCCGGATATGTATATATATATATATATATATATATATATATCCTATTAGCAAGTACATTGCTTTTCTCAAGTCTACGCTAGGTGTCTGACCCCTCGTAATCGAATCCTACGGATTTTTGTAGATATACCCAATATCCAAGGTGTTTACGGGCACAGGACCCCCACGGTCAAACTTCTAGAAAGGAGAGAAAAGGATTGCATGAGATGAAGGACTCTGTCAGGCAGCACGAGAATCCTCGAGCGCGACCGAGACGCTATGAAAATTCATAATAGATCGTAAGACGCTCTTTGTCTTTTCAATATCTTCTTCGAGGACTGTAATGAGCTTCGGGATAAATCGTATGACAGGATGTGGATGCGACGCGTCACTGTAACTCGTCATTCTCTTGGTATTGGTTAGATACGTTTATTGTCGATATAGTCATCGCGAGTCTTTGCCTTTTGTTTCCTGTACCGCGCTATTCTCCATATACGAGGCTCCTGGTACCGTATGTTCAATGTGCTTAATCAATGATGCGCGTGTATCTATACACAGTCTGACTACAAGCGAAATGGTTGTTGTTGCATTTTCCACATTCTCTCATCACTCCGTGAACAAGGTATAATGAAGTATATTAGTTTCTCGACGTTCTTACTGCATTATCCGTCGTTTGTATCGAAGGACGGTTATTGATAACTGCTCGAGAGAGAGAGAGAAAAAAATGAAGTTACGGTCGAGACAAAGGGAGCACAGATCGACGTGACCTTGTGGCTATCTTGTACGTGAAGATTACAAGGGAATGGTGTAACAGTTTTGTGTATATATATATATATATATATATATATGTGCATACGTTCAAGTTTTATCGTTTCTATATATATATATACAAAGGTAAAGTCAAAGTGTGTATATATACTGTCTAGTCAATTATTCAGGAAATTGTCAACATCCTCTGGGAGATAAGAGAAAGTCAAAGATAAAATTGAAAAGACTTAAGTCGGTACTCAGGGGGCGAAGTATTATGATCCTCTTTAATGTTGGGGTAATAATCAATGGCGGAACAACGGGGGTGGATATTGAGTCCGTTGAAAGCAACTAAGAGGCTTGGGAGTTCTGGTCGAAGGCGTCTATAGGAGCTTGAGGATCGTTTGATATAGCCAGTTTCTAAAACGTACTCAATGAATTGGACCCATGGAGCTTTACCGGCGTCCTGGATGACAGGCTAGGCCTTACCTCCCGTTATACGTGTCGCAGTATGGATTTCGAGCGTGAAGTTACTTTTATTTTTCGCAACGTTTCGCATGACAGATTTACGCGAAATACGACCGTTTTCAATTCGCTCGGCAGTTTCTGGCTCTGCACAATTACGTCTACCCGCTATCAACAACTTCTGGATAAAGGATACGCTCGTCCGGTTATTTACAATAGATGCTTTTCACTTAACCTACCGGGCGTTATATACGTCTGCCGTGGGTCCATCTCTGGAAAGTTTGGGAATTTGCAAAATCGAGGCTTCATCGAAATATGCTTGAACAAAGTGACGTTTGTATAACGATAAACTGAAGTTTATGTAATTTTCACCATAGCGTTAAAAATTTGCAATTTTTGGGGGATTTTATTTTTTTTATTTTTTTTATTTAAAAAAAAAAAAGACAATTCGATTTTTCACAGGTACGATGACGCACAAGGCCAAGATGATACGATATTGAAATTTAGTTTCTATCAGGTAACCAGGTCACCTGTAATCCTCTCAAAGTAGTTCCCAAGAGAACCAACCCCTACCTAAGAGACAAATTGGTTTTCGTTTTGGTACAATTGTGTAAAATTCACGAGTTCTCCTCCCACCTCATCGCTCTACCTCCCACCCAACCTTCCCACGAGCCACCAAGCTCTTCGATTCTATTACGCGGCATTGTCCGGCTTCCATCTATATAGAGTTCACGATGCCATGGACTTGCCAAGTTGAACAGTTTCCAAATCCCCTTCGAACGCTCCATTGGTCCTTACTGACATCGTCACCATAGATAAATTACACGCGACTGCACTCTACGTCAATGGCAAACCAAAGAGCTCCAACTGACCATAACGATTCTTACGCTTTTTCTGGTAAAATCTTGAGAGTTTACACACGCGCGAACCGCCTCTGTAATCTCGTACGTATTCCTATACGTACTATACGTACGTGCATATACATATATACACCAAGCACAAAGGAGTACAGCTCCATGAGAACTGGTAGAGAAGATAAAAAGTTTTTCGCTGAACGTGGTCCCCGCTTTCTTAAAACGTAATTAAAGTGCCGTAGGATATAAAATTCTTTATTCCGCTAATTTGCATACAGCCCGGGACGCTTCTCGGTCGAAGTACGAAGGTACGAGGAATTATCGCCGAGCACGCTGCGAATGTCTGACGCGAAAATGTGGAATTTCAAAATGGCCTGTAATTTCCGCGAATCGCTAATATTCCAGCCTCTCGACCTTCCGCCGAGACCCCACGGACGTTCCACCGCGTGTAGGCTTCCTGCCCGTTTAATCAAGCTAATGGCGCGTTGTTTCGCCATTTTAATTGCTTTATATTTGCCTGTCGTTCCTCGGAAGCTCTTCGGGGACTGCTCCTGTCTCTTCGTTTACACGTATAGTCAACATTCGCCTCCAGCTGAGCCAACAGACATCCGTTAGACCGCAACGTTGTTGATTCGCACTGCGATCGTGTCCCTTTCGCGTTTAACACTTGTTGACCCAGCCACGTTGCCGAAAAGCTTACCTACTACTGCGCCACCGCTATTACTGTTCCTGTTCTACACACGGGAATACTCTCTTTCCCTATATCAATGTCCATTCCCCTTTCGCGCCCTTCGAGACCCCCCCCGTTCCCCCTGGTATCCTCGACCTCACTTATTGCCTGCCATTAGTTATCTCCAACCCGGAACGCCACATTACACACACACCCTATATCTATGTCGATCAGGTACAAAACGATTTTCGCAATTTTACCAAGTGACTCGCGAGGATGAATACCTACTTAGTTTTACAGTCACAGCAGATCGCTACCTGGTGAAAATCGAATGGATTACACGGCTGATAAAGTATCCATGACCTGACGATATTTGTTCGTGAAAATTGGCTCCGACCGTATGCGGGTCATGGCGGATGCCTGTGTGTGTATAGTCTACAGTGGACCTATGGCCGATTGCCAGAGGAAGATTTTACTGTGGAAATTGTAGCAAGTCCTTTGGCATACGTAATCGGTGTATGGTTAACTATGTACTCCACTCTGGGAAAACGTCAATCTCTGTGGAGGATCATCGGTCATCGATGATAACGCTTCTGGTATATACGTCTGCCGTGGGTCCATCTCGAGATTACGCGAATTTATCCCGGCAGGCCCGGAGAGACTCCCATGGGGATCCGCCCTGATAATCCTTGACCTCCTGGTAATCCCGAGCCGTTACCACCGTACGTCTATCTACACGTAACTGTTCTGTGAAAATATGTTCGGCGAGACACACGTGCCCCTACCAATGCGTATATATGGATACGCGTGTGTACGTACTACGTATATATAGCTAGGAAAAAGCGATTTTCACAGGATTTTTCACCTCGTCGAACAAAACCGAGCGAACCAAATTTCGCGAGAGCGTCGGCTGCTGTTTGTAACGAGATAAAAAAAAATCCATAGATTGGTACGGACGAGTGAACGTAGTTAGCCACGACACGCGGACATTTTAATTACTGGTGAAAAATTACGAGCATAAGTACGTGCCTTTCCCGTTACTCCTTTTCCTACTGTGGTAATTTCCTACCGACCTAACAACCTGGAAATTAAATAAAAATATCATTCTTTCCCACGCGCGTACACGCACACGCGCACTTACGCGCCTCGGGACATTATCCCGCTTTACATGAATTTCCTGTCTCTTCTCGAGAATTGGTTGCGGCTACCATACAGAGGTCCCCGTCGAATAACCCGCGTATACGTGCACGTACGTATAACTAGAGGCTGCGCTGTTTCAGGAAAGTGGTAGAATACCCAGACTGCACCTCGGCACATCCTGGCATGCATTACACATAGAATTCTCATTTGCTAGTGTAAACGATGAAATTCATAACTTCCGAGGTTGTGTACACGTGTGTCGCGTTAGCCAGCCACCGAATCGGCTACACGTACTATTAATGACACTCCCGATGATTAATAGTCGTTGGCTTTGTCGAGATTTCGAATTTCGCGGTAAACCCTGTATCCAATAAGCGACCGGGACAAACAATGACGTTCGAGTACACGCGGCACGTAACTATTAATAAAACAATACCAAAGATTGAATCAATCTTTGTTTTTATAAAGCTTTTGACTTTCCTCTTCGTTTTCTCCTCTGTGCTCTTTGCTTATCCATTTCTATTCTTCTTCCTGACTCGAATATCCGTACTGGTATTCTACGACGGCGAAAAGAGGAGCCGAGACTCTTCGCTGGCGTCTGGCCAAGCGAACCGACAAGTATAAAGGCTACTGAGTGATGCACTCGTTTTGACTTGGTACCTTTAACGAGTCTTTATGACCTTGTTTTTCTCGTTGCAGGACGTTAACCACGTGGACGTGCTGACGATCGGTTTCGAGGTCGACGGAATCGACCGGGTTCTCGATCTTTGGCTCAACACGGATCTCATCCCCGTGAGCTATCAGGAGCGTCATCAGCACGAAGGCGGCTTCAAGGTGCACAAGCCATCGAACGTTGTAAGTTCAAATGCATCGATACTTTGATACTACTTACCGACCCCGGTCTGACCTATCGATAATGAGTAACGAGTATTCGATATCCGCTTTAGAGTCCCTTCTGTCACTTCCGCCAAAGAAAACAGGTCGAGACTGTTGTCTTGCCTGAAACTTAAGAAACTTCCTTTAACTACCTGAGATCCCTGGACGCTTTCCAAACTTTTTACTTCGATTTTTTTCCCCCCCTTTCTTTTTCTCGTCTCGAATCTTCTCTTTGTAGAAAACGCGACGAAAATTGTTCCCAGAATTGTTGATTAGCAAGGCCGTTGACGTGTGTGTTTCTACAGCTTTTCATGCCCATTACTACGTCTCGCACTGATGCACGTGTTTACTCATGCGAATATGGCTAGTCTCTGCATGACTCACTGGTTCTACCTGTATCAGGTAGACTGCGTTAGGTTGGCTGCGCCGTTGTATGAATCGACCTGGCCCGTCGGTTGTCATTTCCGCTGCATAATTCAAGCATGGACAGACAGAAGAAAAAAGAACGTCGGTATAGACGCAAGCAGGTACTAATCACTAAGGCGTGACAAGAGTCATACTTGCGTATAGTCCGAACAGAAAGTTATCGAAGGTCACGGTATACGTCGTCTGGACGTTTTAATAAATTTTGCTTGTACAGTGGATCCGTTTCTCCGAATAGTAAATTATGATAATGGACAGAGGAGCGTGCAATTTCACTAATAAATTGTGCACGATTATTTCAAACGGAATATTCGTACTCCACATCCTGTTGTCGCGGTACCGTGCTGTCGCTAACTTCAGGATGTCGAACGTAACGGCTCGCGGAAGATGAATCCGTTTTCGATTCTCCGGGAGGTGAGTGTCGCAAAGACGACATTATGCGCTCGTTAGCAGACGAGCTGCACTGGAAACTCTCTCGTCGCCCGGATGCCTCCGAGGGGTTGCTGGCTATCATTATCGCCACTGTGGTAGCGACAGTGCGCTATCACGAAGCGCGAGTTCGTTGCGCCTCGTTATTGTCGGTTTCACGTTTTATGCAATTGAATTAATTAATTGGCGCTCCTGGTACTCGGTGCTTCAATACCACGGGAGTTCCGGATGTTGCACACGCGCGCCTCACGCGGCTTATACGTATACGAGTCGGTGTGGGACTCTTTGTGAATTTGTGGAATTGCGAAAAAGCCAGTTCAGCCAGATCGACACGGTTCCGTCGTCGAGTCAATGGCGGAACGAGAGAAAAAATCGCAACGAAAAATTCGCCTGGCCAAATTGTCCGCGGTCGGGTGAATAAAACAAAAAAAAAAAAGTGAAGAAAAAGTATAAAAGCACCGAAAACTATAGTTTCACCGAACAGTGGCCAGGGTCTGTAGCACTGTCGTTTTTTTTACCCTTATACTCGTTTTCACAACCCGTATGCGAACTTTGGCACCCGCGGCTTCCCGTGACGTCGAAGTGGGATACGTTTTCACTGTCTCGACGAACTCTCTCTGTTTACAGGAACTTTGTCACTATCAGGGTAGCATTCGCGGAGTGCCTGGATCCTGGGTAGCCCTGTCGACCTGCAGGGGTATACGTGGCGTTGTCTTCGACGGAGAGACTCTTCATCATATCCATCCTCAACGGGACAGCCTCGACTCTCCTCATTATCTCTATAAGCAGGATGACCTGGTTACCAATAATACTTGCGGTAAGGATCAGCAACAAGAGTCATCGCTGAACTCTCGTATTCCTGAAGTCTCGTACTTCGTGGATGCTTCCAGTTAAGGTAGCGCGATGGTTCGTTCGGGCGTCTTGTCCCGGGAAAGGACTTGGTGCTGGGTACCATCCCGGTTCGAGAACTGGTATCTCCTTTAGGGGTCTAATGAATGTGAGAGAGCAAGGTCCCCGCGCCTCGTCTTTATTTTACTTTATTTCTATCACGTTGAAATCCACCGCAGTCGTCGCTCTCTCGTTTTTGTTCCAGGATACCAGGGAACTCCGCACGACATCCACAAGACTGAGAGGGCCAACAGAATGCTGCGGGTAAAAATAATTCTCCTTGCACTTCTTCCACTGACTCCGAACACTTCCGCGAACTGCATTAATTTCGTTCCCCGTCCCTGGATACCCGGAGCCGTGTACATAGCACGTATCTATGTACTGTCCCTCCGTCCTCGTTTACAGGGATTAAATGCATCGATTAAATGCATTGATTAACTTTATAATGTCGGACGGCTTCGTTTCCTATTTGCATGACAAGATTAGCCCAGTCAAGTACATTACTTCCTAGTCTAGTCTATTGGGTTACGTAATTCCATTCTCTCGTTCTTTCAGTATAAAAGAGACGCTGAAGCTATCCGCGGTCCTTACAATGCCAATAGACAATCCAGGTACGTCGAGCTGGTAATGGTTATTGATAAAAAGGAGTACACGGATCATCATGGGAATTTGCAGAAGATCTATCAACACTGCAAGGATATAGTGAACATTGTCAATGCCGTGAGTAAAGTTGGATCGGTATTCTACTGGGTAAAGTTCTTTACTCGCGATCGGATAGAAAATACAAAGGAATCTCCCTGTTGCAGCTGTACATGCCGCTGAATATCTTCGTTGCCCTGGTAGGAGTTGAGGTCTGGTCTGATACCGATGAAGTGACCGTGTCCTCGAATGGCGACAATACCCTGACGAATTTCTTGCGTTATCGCAGGGAGAGACTAGTCAAAGAAATGCCAAACGATAACGCCCAGTTGCTCACGTAGGTTATCCCTAGGTTAAATGCCTGAGAAGATCTTCGCGATATCTGCTCAAGGTCATCGATTTGATAAAGGCTGTATTGGTTGCAGGGGAACGCATTTCGAAGGCGGTGTCGTTGGTAAGGCCCTTAAAGGACCCATGTGCACCTACGAATACTCAGGTGGAGTCTGCATGGACCATTCGAACGTAGTTGGTCTGGTAGCAGCTACGGTGGCTCATGAGATGGGTCATAATTTTGGTATGGAACATGATTCGTCGGATTGCGAGTGTCCCGAGGGCAGATGCATCATGGCTGCGTGGAGTGGTTCGGCTGTGCCAGTTCATTGGTCCTCTTGTTCCTTGGACTATCTTGCTCTGGCCTTTGTTCACGGTATGGATTATTGTCTGAGGAACAAGCCTCAGAAGTTGTTCGAAAGTCCTATCTGTGGTAACGGATTCGTTGAGCCTGGTGAACAATGCGACTGCGGTCTCAAGGAAAACTGCAACAATCCATGCTGCAACGCTACCACTTGCATGCTGCACTCGAATGCAAGTTGCGCTACTGGAAAATGCTGTGATCTAACAACCTGCAGACCAAAAACAGCTGGGACTGAGTGTCGATCCGTTGAACACGAATGCGACCTGCCTGAGTATTGTACTGGACAAAGCGAGTATTGTCCCGTGAATGTTTTCAAAATGGACGGCGAGGTTTGCAGTATGGGAAAGGCCTTCTGTTATCAAGGTTCTTGCAGAACTCATGACGATCAATGTAGATTATTATGGGGGCCAACTGGAACTTCGTCCGATGATAAATGTTACAGTACGAACAGTGAAGGAAGCATGAAGGGAAACTGTGGATATAATAGAGTGGATTCGGTTTACGTAAAGTGTACCAATGAGTGAGTTTATACTGTTGAGTTTTATTAGGACAAGGCTTTGGCACGGCGTTTAAAATTCATTATGTCGTTCCAGAAATACACTCTGCGGTATGCTTCAATGTAAACATCTAAACGAGAGACTGGAATTTGGCATGGAGTCCGTAGCCATTTTAAAACACAACTTTATAAATAATGGAAAAGAGATTATAGCTTGCCGCACGGCTATTGTGGATCTTGGATTAAACCAAGTGGATCCAGGTCTCACGCCGGATGGCGCCAAGTGTGGTCCTGGAAAGGTATTTAACCTAATTCAATATCGATATTGGAGTCAACGAGTTTCGTTGCTAAATACTAATTTCTCAAACGTCTAGATGTGCGTCAATCAAAAGTGCATGGCAGTTTCTGATCTGCGAGCTTCCTTACTAGGCGGTAAAGCCTGTCCGAATAATTGTGGCGGAAATGGCGTGTGCAACAGTCGTGGCCATTGCCATTGTAACAGAGGCTTTAAACCACCAGACTGCATGGAGCTTGGAGTCGGTGGGTCGGAGGACAGTGGACCAGCGGAAGATCCTAATGGTAAACTCATATATATATTGTCTGTCTTCAAAAATCTCATAATTACCTTGTATACCGGATTTGAAACACGTGAGTTTGCTTCTATTTGCAGCAAGAAACGACTTCGTAACGGCACTCTACATCATCTTCCTGGGTATAGTACCGATGGTGGCGTTACTCTCTCTCGGCGCGTGGTACACTAAAAGAAACGCTGGTCGCTACTGGAAGAAAGGTGCCATGTCAGCGTATGTATCTAGTCTGAACTGTTTCAAAGCAAGGCGCAAGCCACAGCAGAACTTATATCCGACGTCGGACACCGAGTCCAGCAATAGATTCTTCAGAAGAATACTGATCACCCTCGCTCCCAGAAGGGAACCCGCGCGTAACGCTAACAAAGTATTTACGATCAGTGATGCAATTCCTCAGAAGGAAAAACTTGAGATCACTAAGACTGATCTGGTTTCGACTACAAATCCAGATGTTATTAATTGTAGCAATAGTATTGAGTATCGAAAGTCGATGCTTCTCGGCAATCTCAGACCTGATTACGATAGTGACTGTCAGGATCAGTCTCGGGGTACCGGTATGGTGTCAGCCGTAGTAGAATCTCAGGAGAGAAAAGTTAGTCCAGTGAGAAAGGAGTACGGGTCCAAGATATCCGAGCACATACAAAACTTTCAAAGGAGGCCTTCAAAGAACTTCAAGGGGCTCAAGCTCAAGACAGAGCTCAAGTTTGAGCATTTGAACGAGAGCCCCTGCAGTACTTCTGGTATCACACCAAAAAGTTCCGAGACATTACTCGCGAACGATAGTAAGCCAAATCCAACGAGTACTGTAGGATTTTATAATAAAAAACCGCCACCCCCACCGGCACCGGCTCAAAGCCTCAAGCCAAAGTTTTAACGAATTTTACCACGCGTCATTCGCGTTTCATATTTCCCGCCTGCACGGGATAGAGCATCACTATTGGCAATGTCAAAGACTCCGTAAACTCTTGTTCAGATACGATCCGAAAATTGATCGGCCCAATCTTACTTAGTCCATTTTTTCCTTATTTTTCCAAAAAATATTTTATCCCACCCAAGTATACTCGATCGTAAACATTTAATATTATATGATCGTATTTCGGAATAAACGAAAACGAATTATAATTCTATGAATAGATAATTGCTGGTCGACATGGATACGCTCTATTATCATTTACGCATGTATGTATTCAAATTCAAAGTAATCCATACATGCCTAACTAGGTTACGTACGAACGCTTATGTGGTACGTGGTGTCCCGAGCATATGCGTTGGCGCGATTCCCGGGAACGTTATCTCTTCGACGAATTCTCCGTGGTCGCGGAAGAACTATATATTTACCTAAACATGATCTCGTCTAACTAATCGTTTCGTGTTGTAAGATCGTCTAGTGCGAGAGTCATCGTAGAACTCATATCGAAGCGATGATTTGTGCATTATACATTCGGGAAAGTGGTGTCAGGAAAAGGGGGGAAGGGGATTTACAGTGATACTTCTTATCGCATTATATTGAAAGTATTTTTTTAATTACCATATTGTCCTGTGATTTTAATAGAGATAATGACGTCTTACTTAGATAGTCCATAGAGAATTAGCGAGTCATACTTAATATATGAAACTTACACATGACAAGTACTGAACTTAGAGGATTAGAGATTAACGCGATTCAAATCGCGTTTTTCTATTGAATTATTATTTTAGAGGAGAAGATATATTCTTATACACACGTTATATATATATATATATATATATTGATATATGCAGATATTTTTCGTATTCATTTCTTCGCGATTTTATATGAGATATCGATAATTCGTTAACGAAAAATTCGAGGGGACCAAGCTCAATTAGCGATTATTATATTATTATCAATATACGAGCATGAGTATTTTGCACGTATGAATGTTTTTTCTTTTTTCTTTTTTTTTTTCGTTCGTGATCATGTTCACATATTTGAGTTCAACTGTTTTGTATTTCCTTATTAAACCCTCAGTTCTTGAATGTTATATTCCTTGTAGAAAAATCTATCAGAACTCCACGGTATAATTGTCCAATTGAAAGTTCATGTATGTACGTAGTTGCATAAGCATGTGCAATGCATTCTGTCGCAATCATGCGCACAAGAAGCGGAATTAAAAATTGAATTAAAAAAGAAATTTAATTTTATCGAGACTCTTTGCACCATTTAATTGAACTGTATAGTATCGTGTTATTAAACAAACTAAAACTCATAAATTCTGTAACTCTACTCATTTTCTCGCCATTCGGCCAAACGAACAATGTTTATATATGGATCGTCATTTGATTGACTGTACCCGTTGTATGTAATAAAAGCTATATACAGATGAGCCTCTGTTCTGTTTCCTCGTGTAATCAATGATTTTCCTTCTTTCCGCAGCTTGCGACTAACACTATAATCTCTTACTAATAACTCCCTGCTGCTTTTCATGTTTTTTTTTTTTTTTTTTTTTTTTTTTTTTATGCACGCCTCTGCAAACTGTACGGTAAACTTTGCTTTGTAAGAGCGACGCTTGAAGCCTCCCTGCACGCGAATGGATTTTTGTGGCTTTCTTTTCGTGCATTTCTGTGACAAAAGTATTGCACTTTGTACGTGGTTATTGCTGAAGACTACTTAGTACAAGAAGCTGAGTACCCTCGTCTATTTGATTAAACGTTTTTATTGAATTTGACAAAATCGTCATAGCTCTAAAAATCGTTTGTTGAACGTATCAATTTTTTTCTTATGTACTTTGAGACTTATACTCATGTCACGCTTTGCAAACCTCACTATCCCTTGCTTAAGAATTTGCTTATAAATTTGCAGGACCGATCGCAGCAACAACGGCTTGTCGATCAAGACGATCGATCGATCGAGTCCGATGCCACGAAACATCGAGACGATCGATTCTAGCCTTCGCCAGGATCCAGCGTGCGCCAGTCTGCTTCCCAAGGTCGAGACAGATGAGCGGTACAACAATAATTTCTTTGGGCAGTTCAAAGGATTCACGATCATACCGATTAATAATCAGTCGAAGCCTCCGGAACCTACGAAGCCCGCGCCCCCGCCGCCCACGATACCTACTGTAGCGATAAAAACTAATATTAAGCCTGTACTGAGATCGAATACTTTGCGAAGCACCTTGTCAGGTGGCGTTTCTAATGTTAATCAGGCTTCCGTAGCACCAGCGTTGCCACCTCTGAATCCTGGATGCAACGCGAGACCCTTGATCAGTAGTCCTGTCTTGGCTGCCACTACGTGCACTTCTATGGAACTTATTGCATCCAAAGTACCAACCAGGCCTGCCCCAGACGTCCCGGTAAGACCAGCTCCTGAAATTCCTGCGGTTTCGTACAGTTCACAAAAGTCACAGAGGCCGAACAGTACGCCCTTGACGAACGTTATCTTACCGGAACCAGAAAAGAAACCTGAGAAAGGTAGTGCTTTGAATAGGATAGCCTCTATATTGCGACCCAGTTCCGGTATCATGAGGTCGAATTCACAGCCAAATTCACGGGACGACAAGAATACAAATTCTTTGCCCAGAAATCAACATCACAAGGCTAATAAGGTTATTGATAAGGAGATTTTGAGGAATTTGGAAATCTCCCATCCGATTCCACAATCCGAAATAGAGATATCGACACCAGCGATACCGGTGATACCATTGACGGAGAATGAAGAGAAGAAGAATGTTGTGATGCGGGCGCAATCCATGAGAGATAATAAAGTTACTCCCAGACCGGCTATACATACTTTTGGATCTATGCGACAGGCGAATCCTCTCAAGAGGCCCACTAGCATACCAGCCAGTACAAGACCAACTTCGCCACCTCCAGGACCTCCTACTGCACCTCCAGCTGTCGTGGCAGACAAAATATCCGAGACTGGAATAAAGATACCCGGTCTACCCGGTTACCAAAATCCACCAGTGAAAATAATTCCAAAGGCAGCTGACAATGTCTATGACGATTGTATGAATACAGTGTCCGAACAAGTTTTGACAAAAATAATGGAGGAGTCCCCGTCCAATGATAACATATATGCTGTAATAGAAGAATCGGTTCCTGAGAAAAATAGAAAGAAGCAGGAATCACCGCTTAAAAAGATACAGAATGTCGAGAGTCAATACAAATCACCAAAGCCCATAGAAGCTACTCCAAACAAAGGAAGTGGTACAGACTCCATGGGTCTTCTGTCAGAGATTGTGTCTGAGATATCAAACAGAAACTTTGACTCTATATATTCGACCTCAACCCTAGCAAGAAAGAAACGCGAGAAAGAGGAGGCTGATAAGAACTCTGAGGAATTGGGTTCAAATAGCTCTCTGGGGACATATACAAATTCCAGTCACTATAAATCGCCCGGAAGTGTTTACTCAAACTCGGCATCCGGTAAGTTTAACTCGGCAAGTTCAACTACCAGTTCCGGATATCTCAATCCATCCGTGCTGAACGTACCAAAAGCAGAGAATAAGCAGGAGCCTGAGAAGAAGCCTCTTTCGGCGTTAAAAAATGACCTGAAACTCGTGGATAAGAGTAAATTATTGTCATTAAATTCAAAAAATCCTAATATCAATGATGACATGTCCAAGGAACTGGGAATGAAGCCTGTAGACAGTACAGACTCCGGTAAACCATTCTCTTCTGCTTCAAACAGATCAAGTATTGTAATCGACAGGTCCAGCAAGATAGAAAAAAAGGAAGAAGGTAAAGCGCCAGCCAAACCACCCTTAAATAGAACGAAAACACCTCCCAATATTACAAAAGGTTTGACGACCAAGCAACAGGGTTCTGATACAAATTTAAAATCTACTAGACAAGGTTCGGACCCTTCATTGAGATCAAATAAACAAAATGCAGATAGCAATTTGAAATCTAATAGACAAGGTTCTGATACAAGCTTAAAGACTGTTAGACAAGGTTCAGATACGAGCCTGAAATCAGGAAGGCAAGGACCAACACTGAATAAATCTAACAGCAGTCTGAATAAGTCTAATGGTAATTTAGATAAGCAGGGTTCTAATACAAATCTGAGTACGATGTCCCTGAAAGGTGTGCCTTGTAGTCCCAGGGGTAGTTTAGGAAAACTAAACAGTTCGAACAGTCCTGATCTTGTGTCGAGTTGTTCGAACTCCAGTCAGAACAGTACAAAGTCACCGGATGTCTTGGGAAGTAATGCGAAGATTTCCGGCGGTTTGAAAAGTGGTCAAAAGACACCGACGTTACCCAGGAACATGAAGATACCTTCGACGCCCCCTAAGCCAGCAAACGTGGCAACGAAAGCAGCTAGTTTCGCCGAGAAGAAAAAATCCCCAACTACTAACGTGAACGTGATTAAATCCTTGTCAGTGACCACCAAGGATACAAACAGTTCAAAGTCGATGCAGCCATCGAAATTGCCTCAGAAAACAACGGAAGTCAAAGCCATGGAAATCACGTCTAAAGTGAATCCAGTGCAGAAGGCAGCTAGCAGCAAATCTAACGTTGCATCCCTTCAGCAAAAGTTTGAAGTCAATAAGAACTCGAATCCTACAAGAACAATGTCGAATATTTCTAAAAAGACCCCTGTAGTCAAAACAACGGAAGTAGGACGTAGCGTAAGTGCGAAGAAGTGAAACAGAGTGTCCCGGAAAATTCGATAGAATCAGCATTTTTTCTCCACTAACGTTTCGAGAAAATCTCGTCTGTTATAGAATTATCAAATTTTTCGTCGCGCGTCACGGCTACGTGTATGAAGTATATTTTTTTTATTCGAGCGATGAAAAATGATGAAGTCGAACAAAAACTAAGAATGTTGCTTCTCCATTGCTAGATATAAGCTTTAGCCTTGAGAATGTATTGACATTTTGTAAAATTGATTTTCTTTTTTAAACAAAGTACAACGGAGTGGAGAAAAAGTTTGTGGGAGTAGAATAAAAAAAAAGGGATCACTTCTGTTAGTCCTTCGGGAGATGAGTTGAGTGAGATTGCTATGACGTGTAAATAAGAGAATTGTATAAATTTTAATATTGTCTAAAAGAAAAGGAGCTCACGCTATATCGTATCCATGTAAAATCAATAACTGCCGTTACTACTACGAGATTTTTTTATGCGTTTAAGGTAATTATCTTCAAATGCAAAAATAACAGCAGGATCTCTATGAATTATTTTCAAAAGCTTGATCTACCATATATGGAACGAACCTTGTAAGAAATTATTCAACTCTGTGATATAAGTAAAGAATAAATATGAAAGAGATAGTAACACACTTCGCGCTATCGTACGGAACGATATATGCTGGATTGTGACCAGATCTGTCATTTTATATTTCGGACTAGGTACAGACGTGTTGAAAATGAGAATTATTTTCAATGGCAACGAAGTGCGTCGAGTAATACGACAAAATAAAAAAAAAAGTCTATTTATCTTTAAAAGAGAATGCCATATCTATAAATTCGATGCTTAGATCGATAAGATGATTGTCTATTTTGAAGATTAATTGTGGAAACAATAATGGATATCCTAATCATCCCGGAATTATTATTATTGTTTTATTCGTCACCTTAATAACGTTATTGAATTGCGACATCGCAGATGCGAATTTAAGAAATAATTAACGTCTTGAGTGGTTCTTATTTTGATCACTGCCCTTGTTACTATTTTTGTAATACAATATCTATGTAACGTATTCATTTCACGGATTTCAATGTTACAATTTCGCTACTTGATTCCTAAGATCCAAAAATGGCATATAGATTGTATCAATGTGATTCGAACATTTATATTTAAATCGGCGGTATTGCTTATCGGTTTTTGCAAAAACTCGAGATATTTATTTTGACTGATCCATGTAAATATGTTTATACGAAGCATATAGAGATAAGCGAGATTTTGTACAATGTACCTTTGTGCTCGTAAGTTAAGTTATAATTTATAATAATAAATATCCTCATCAGGTACGTGTCCGGCTTCAGCAACTAGCACGTAAAACTCTATTTAATTATATATCCGTTGCTTGTAATATCGATGAAATCTGGTTAACGAGAAACAACAAACTATTATTGAATACTGCTGACAGCTATAATGACAGTAATGATCACAGGGGTGCATTTATTTTTTCCGATAACGAGTATAAGTTCGTTATAACTCGTTCTATTATTATCAAAGCATCGTACGTCCAAGACAATTAAAAGAAAACTTTTACGAATAAAAGCATCGCGCTATATAGTTCCTACTTACCGTGTAATCGTTTGAACGCATTTAATTTCGCGATATTTTTTTCCGACTTGTGGTTTAATAAAGCTTTCTCTCTACGTTAAGTTACTACGCAATACCGTTGATTGTTACTTGTTAATTTCTTCACATAAGATATACTACATTTAATACTATGTTCTGCTTAATTAAAATGACAATCACAGAATCGCCTGTTATTTTATAAAAGCAGTCATCGTGATCTAAACTTATGCATTCTTGACTGACGACTCATAACCCACTGATGCCACTTGTTTCTCGGCATGTTTTATAGTGAAAGATTAAATTAAAAAATTTATTTGTGCTGATGAAAGGGAAACAACAATTTTGTCGGTCCAGAGATGTATCTTTTTAGATTTTGGTTCTATAGTAATAAACGAGATAGATGTCCCTTTGACCTGTGAACTATGATGTTTCATAATTCATCTGGTCATCGATACCTTTGAAATGTATATTGCGTTCTCGATACCAAAGATCTATATATGTTCGTTCACCATTTATTTTGTGTCGTAAACAGACACACAGTATCGCTGGGTTATACGCTACAGATAAATAGATAATCGACGACTTTATTATAACGTGTACATTTCCTATGGCATAGTTATAATAAAACAAATTCTTTATTCCTAGTATCTTGAGAGGCGAATAAAACGCCGTATTTGAATGACTTAATTGATGTCCCTTTGAAGTGTTAATTGACTTAAATATATATGTTTTGTCTTTTGTTAATTTTCTAGGGCAGTTGCATAGGTGAGTATCTTTACATTTCTAACACCGTGTAAATAAGTCTTCGTTGAGACTTACCTTTAACATTCGGGATTAATTTAGGAACACACAGCGTTGTCAATCTTTCGCTGGTGGGTGAAGAGAAGTTCACGAGTATAAAGCAGCCAAGCGGAAATCAAATTGTCCGTAGATCCCGATCCCGACATCCGGGACTAATTGTGAGTTCATTCATAAAATTGTCCTCGTTATTCTTTTGAGAATGATTATCATTGATTACTGCTAAATTTGTCGAATTGATGCAATCGTATATAAAAAATGGTTGTCTTATTCTTACAACTGTTATCCGTCCTGATACATATAAAACAAATAATGTATTTCTTGACAAACTGTCAGAAACATTGAGTATGCACCACCGACGAGATCATCGTATCTTTTCGTTTGTATGATTTCCGTTCCGCACCATCGTACATTTCACCATCAGCCAAGATTGAAATTAATAGTTCTTAATTACTGCTCGTGATATAAGCTCATGAATGCGAAATACAATTGGCGTGTATATTAAATTTAAACTAAGAATATTCATTGCAGTTATGAAGAGTGTAATTATATATATATATATACTTTATAAAAAATTGTTAAAGAAAATATCTGATATCGTTATACAAACCATAAAGTTTACGAACAGAATTTTGAATTTGACACCGTGCTCACACTCATTTAATAATTGGCTACAATGCTTAATTGACGTACTGCAAACTCTACATCGAAATCCAGAACAATACGTACGTCACTATGAGTAATTTAGCAATTCGAAACGGGTAGGTAAGAATGAAAAAGAAAAAGAATTAAATAATTTAACGCATGCGCCAAATGTCCATAATCGCGTTGGCAAATAAGTGTACCGATTGAAATTCATACGTGCAACGACGACGTGAAAATCATTCCTGTGCATAAAATTCATTAACGGGCGATTAGTGACCTCGACTATACAAGACTGCCATCGATAGCCACGTTTCTCGGATCTTTTTATGAAGACTTTTATTTTCTTCCTCTCGAAAACGATACAGATCGTAGAGAGTCCAGTGGGCCCGCGAACTTGGGACCGTTGAGACTAGTGATAAAAGCCGTCTTGAGAAAAAAAAATCGAATTCGCAGAAGAGCGTCGACAAGTTGCGCGCTCATCGGTTCACACAAGGTAGAGAACCGCGTGCCAGATAGAAGCGCTCCCGGAGGTACGCGGGAACATATATTTTTCGAGAGTGAGAAACGAATCTGACGACTTTTTTTAAACTGGAAAACATGGCCGTCACTGTGACTCTAACATAAAATCTACGTTGCTCCGAAAGGCAACCGAAATCAACGTTCATTCGTATCGCTAGGAGACTTGAGACTGGTTGGCCGGTTCGCCGTTACGCGGCTAAAAATCACTGTGCAAAAGTCGGACTAACCTATAGTAACGCAAAGGACCTTGTGTTGTGTAAAAAACATTCTACGATAAATGTGGTGATTCCCTTAACGTTACGCTTTTAGGATTTCGACGTATTTTGTGGACGATAGGGAACTTAATTTTACTATTAGCGGTAACTTTTGATTAGTTTTGTGCCTCTTTATCTGGAACTATACAAATTTGTCGGGTTGCCCGCTCTTAATGATCAGCTATTGTCAATAAATTGATTGTTTACAAATAGGACACTGCTATTGTCTGAGTTTCGCATAATACCGTACTCGTTTTCCGATTTTATGTCATCCTACGCTGAAAATGGCCTATGCACCATTACCGAAACTAATACCAATAAGCAGCACTAAGTTATATCCAAAGGAATCGACAAAGACCTCGCTTTCAGAGGTAAGTCTGTCTTATATTTTTTTAAAATTGTTCTTACTGTTGCGTGTGGTACTTATAAAAATACATCTATATTTTAGGATGTTTTTTTATATTATTTCTTTTTTCTTTGACAGATCTTACAATCAGATCCAGTAAAACGACTTTTCAATCAACCAAACATTGTCATCGAGACCATTCCTGTAGGTGCCTCTGCAAGTTCGAGCACAGTATTAAACAAGAGTATTTTTGTAAATAAAAAAAATGGCACTAGGCAGGATCTACATGGAAAGAATCAGCCAGAAATATCTATACTACCTGTGAGGTATGTACCAGGAGAGAACAAAGAAGAAGGTACACATCTTCCATCTAAGAAGGATGGAAAGTCAGAAATTACATTGCTGCCAATAAAGCGTGAGAGGAAGAAGTGTGGCCATTATGAACCATGTGAAAATATAGTGTGTGATGTAGCTGTACAACAGTATATCGATCATAATGGAGTATCTCCAATGCTTGCTGTTAATATTGAACCCCATGAAATTAATGCACCAGTATCCAAACACTGTAAAAACACACGCTGCGATACCTTGAGCATTGATCATAATCGTTGTCGAAGAGCACTCATAAAACTATATCGCTGTGATACGTTGCAGATATGCGATATTTGTGGTATTAAAATAAAGACACGGAAAGCCTTTGTACGTCACAAAAAGTGTAACAGAAAAGAAGAATATAGACATAATGAGACGGATGGGGCACAGATTCTGAAAGAGAGAATGCGTGAGAGAGAGTTGCAAATGATGGAAGCGTCACGTACAAAGAGGAACGAATACGTAGATCCGGATACAGAATATAATCGAGTAATAGAAGCTCTAAAGAAAAACGAAGAATTAATTGTTATTCCAAAATCGGTACCACCCCAACCACCAATCATCACCATAACGTCTATACCAAATTCACAGGCTAATCAGCAATATTCTAGCGTTAAAGATGTTTTTGGGAAATTATTACCAAGCATACCAATTGTATTTCCTCATCAGAGTATATTGCTTGGCAAAAGAACTAATACCGATTCAAATAATGGTCCGGCTACTAAGCAATCGAAACTACAAGATTTTCTAAATAATACTCTAATAAGCCCACCAACATCAGGTTCCATGGCATCAAATCAGTTCATCAAACTGGCTGGTGTATCTCAAGGCAACATCGTACAGCCAGTTACAATAAATGACTGGTTGGTTTCTCAGGCGCAAATTGTGGGTTCGTCAACAATTCAACCTAAACCATTTTTCACTCCAATCCGAGTAGTACCGATAACCAATTTAAAATCGCCACCATCCTTACTCCATCAGACTCAAGGCATTCCTAAATTCTGCATAATGGCGGACAACACATTAAAACCACCTGCATTAATAAAGTCACAAAGCGTACAGTCAACTGCAGTGCCAATAGTACCTGACATCAGTATCAAGGTGAAGTCTGATAAAGATCAGTCTAGTAATGCAACAACAACAGCGTCAACAACGACAACAACAACAATATCAAAGGCAGTACCTTTAATTTTTGCCAGTGTTCATCAGCGAAGAAGATCCGATGATAAAAACGGAAAGTCATTTGTATGCACTTTCTGCCCAAAACGCTTTAGTACGGACTGGTATTTCAAAATGCATCTGGCTAAACACAAAGGCGAGACACCTTTCAGTTGCAAAACTTGCAATCAACAATTCACAAATCGATATGACATGAAGAAGCACTTGCTTAACGATCACAAGACGAAAGAGGGTGAACAAACTTGTGGAATATGTGGACACGTGTCCCTTTGCTACTCTGCCCTCGAGGTGCATATGAGAAGTCACACTGGTGAAAAACCATTTAAGTGTGACGACTGTGAAAATTGCTACAGGGTGAGGGGTGACTTGAAAATTCATCAACGAAAAGTACACGGCTTTGCTGATTGTTCTCACTGCAATGAACAGTTCAACAAGACAGAATTGAAGGAGCACTTAATGACGATACATGACGTGACGGAAGAAGAAGCCGAGAAGGAGGTAAACGATGACGATTACTTAAACGGTAGGAGTCCTGAGGACATGGAAAAACAGAGTAAAGAAAATTCGTCAGATCCTATAAAGGTGGAATCAAGCGAGAAGAAGTCAGAAGAGAGAGTAGAAGAGAAACCTAAGGAGGAGATTGCACCTGCGATACAGAAAAGTCCCGTCTCAGTGGCAAAGAAGTGTAATGGCTTGACAAAGAAGAAAGAAGACGCAAAGCAAAATGGCAAGGCAAAGAAGTCACCAACGGTAACTGTACCGAGAAGAAGAAGCACACGACGTGGCAACTCTGGAGTACAATGTAACGTATGCGAAAAACACTTTGTGAATGCAAATTTATTAAAGGCCCACCTGGCCGACAAACCCAAGAAAGTTACAGAGTGTTTGGATTGCGGGAAGAAATTTCATACACTTGGGGAACGCAACAGGCATCCTTGTGAGAAGATCAAGACGACAACGTCGCGTGAGTACAAAGACACATTCAATTCATCTTAATGTATAAAATTATCGCTTGGATAATCATTCCTATAATATCCAATTGAAAATCTTAACAAATAATGTTTAATGGTTTCTTTATATTTTTTAGCATGCCCTTCGGTCAAGGCAACGGCAGACGTATAGTATGATCTCACAGAGGAATAGTTCCAAGCGTCCAATGTTCAAAGCAGACATCGAGAAAAAGGGATGTCTTTAACTCTATTAAATTAATATACCTAATCTGCATCCTTTTGGACGTTCTGCACACAATCCTCGAATAGAAGAAAATATGGAGAATCTCCAATTGGCATCATAAAAATTTGTCGCAGTGCAATGAAGTGACATCGTATACGAAAATGATGTCGCTTGCAATACTTTCCGGTCTTATGGTGCTTGATACGTCACAACGAAAGTAGGACAGAAGGTGACATAGAATACGTCCAAAGAGAAACATCGTTTCGATTGACAATCTGCGATGGCGTCTTGTCAAACGAAAAAATGTTACGCGTACAACCGTGAACTTATGCATATACGATGACCGTATATTGTGTAAAAAAAGTGTCCTCAGTTCAAACATAACAGCATTATTATGAATATCTTACGGCGTTTGTATGTATATGTCCAAATTGCGGTTGTGTATTGAAGGTGAGACAAAGTTTTCAGGCGCATAAAAATATGAACAAGTGCACGAAATATGAAACACGATTCACTAATAGTTTTGACTTGCGATACCATGCTAGAAGCGCCCACGATATCATAATTGACCAATTGCGCAAGCGGTTTGTGTGGAATTATATTTTGTATAGAAGAATTACGCAATGATAGATTTTTATAGATGTTTCAGCTGGAAATATCTTTTACGTACTATCCAGTTTTTAAGTTTTTTTGCTTATTATTATCACTATACGCAATTTCTTTTTTTTTTTTACTAAGATCTGCCACGTCACGTATCATTTTTCTTTATTTTTCTTTTCTTTTAGGAATTAAAGAATTATAATGTACATATATTTTCAATGGTAAACACAAACGCTTTACAATGATGTACACTGTATTCCGTTTCTAAACTATTTTATATGGTCCATTTTTCGTTAAAAACGAACGTTCAATGTAGATATATATTTACCTATCGACAGTCGCTTATCGTTTGTCGAAGGCTGATTGTCAGAGGACTATAGTAAATATAAATTTGAGTATGATACCAAATTTTAATGTTGAAGTTTTTAGTTTTAAAAACGTTAAACCGAGCTAATTGAGATTGAATTGTTGCGAGGCGCAAAACAGCGACTCCACAATATGAACGTTTTTATTGACAATTATGTGAAACACATTGTGCCGGATGTATGATTTAAAAAAAAGAAAAAAATGGTATTCTCTATTTTTTAAACAGCAGAATATTACGGAGTCATGCGTGAATTCAAGTGCATCTTACAGTATACGGTGGCATCAAGGCAATGTACAGCGATGCGATCCTTATTGCCCAAAGAGACTGTTCTTGGATTTTAAATTAAAAACTATTCGTACATACCTCTGGTGCTAGTCAATAACATCATTTTCGAATATATGATCAGCTACAAAGTATAGTTTGAAAATTTATCAGTGGGCAGTGCCACCAAAAAAAAATGTAACGTGTAGATACAGGTGTTTATACATTATAATGCTATTCAAACTATATATATATATATGCGATTAAATAGTCACTGTATCTTGCCCTGTTGTCATATAGTACGTAAAATACATAGTAAAACATGATAACGCGCTTTCTCGAATATTGGAATGACGAGGCTTAATTTTGTATTGCAAAGATAACAATTATATTTCTTCTTTGTAGGAACTATATATATATAGTACATATACACAAATATATGTATGTATGTATACAATTCAAAATTAGGGGACGTTCCTTATTAATAAGGAATACTGATAAACGTGGTGTGCCTTCTGAATTTCTGATGTTCCTCACGATTCAGCATACTTTATTTTTTGTCTTCTTTCACGTTAAGTTTCATACGATAGTGAAGATCACCAGCGTCATAGGTAAAGGTAGACTATATTTATCGTTATTGACAAAAGTGATACCGAATGATACTAGAATATATTTTTGTGACAAGTAAGTCACTGCCGCATATCGCGTTATTATTTCGCTGTACAGTGTCGCAATTGTTTCTTATAAATAAAAGTATGTAATACAGACAATGTCCTTTTAAGTCTTAACTTAAGATAATATTAGCGTAATCCTCTGACGCTCGTGTTTTTCGACAACGAAACCAAAAACGCTTGAATCTCAACGGTCTCGTTTAAGATTCTGTATATTTTGTTTCTTTGATAAGCCAGTTTCAAGTGCGATTTTGTTAAGAGAGGCTCTCTATCTCTACGTAAGTTAGCAGGATAACATTGGAATCCGGTTATTGTTTCATTATTGTTATACAAGATACAAGTGCTTTTATTGTATCAATGCGTATTCATGTGCTCACTTGCACTTTAAGACAATTATTTCTTTCATTCACTTCATGAAATCCATTGTGATGTATGGGTTAATGAAAATGATAAATTCTGGGCATTGTTTTATTTTAGCATTGGCAATTATGAAAACAATCATTTATGTGCAGACCGAGTTTCTGTATCTTTTGTTTTGATACTGTTCAGCAACAATTAAGGCACAGATAGAAAAATAAAGCAAACGCAGATACATTAATTGTTACATAGGCACAAGTATTTTATGTGATATAACAATCAGCTTGAAGATTATTTTTGTCACTGCATGAGAAATTACTGCGGTTTCATGTATTAAAGCAAGGTGTTATATGAAGTGTCGGAATAATTTTAGCATATTGATTATTGAATTACAATATTGGATAGTAGAAAATACAAGGATGTTGACAAAATCATATCAAAAAGTTTAATAAATATTTTCTCTATGATTCCTAGAAATATTGAGATACCTCTTTTGACCTGAAAGCTTTTTATCGCAGAAACGTATACTTTCATCTATGTTGAATACTCCTTCAGAGATTTAAGCAAAGCTTCTAGCACTTTTTTTTGAAGATTAAGTTAAACATATACAAATCCTTAAACAATTTTATTTTATATTATGATGTGCTTGATAAAACCATTCACAACATACAGAAATGTTAACATATGTGTAACACTATTGTAATTTTAATAGCAATCAGTTAACACTTTACAATAATGTTGTACGGAATTAATTACTATATATTGAGATGTAACACCGAGATGTGTTGTACAAAAACGGTACAAATCTCAGAAACTTCCTGTACTGATTTATAAAAGGGCATTGCAGACACTGTATTGTGTATTATGTTTAGATCTTATTTTATATGGAATATGTGATTTCTAAGCAACTAGAACACTAAGTGATTTATAAGTTATACTGAAAAAAAGATAAATGTAGGGATACGACTTGCGATAGTGTGTTTTGCAACATAACAGACGCATCGTAACATTGATGTGCCTTTTGAAGTAGTGACTCATATATTTTCTTTTGCCATATGCTTGTGATTATTATAATTGCTACATGTAGAGTTTATGGTACTAGATACAAAAAGATAGATTCCTTATATTGCATTCAATATCTAATGACACCAATAAAGTGAGCCATGTAAGAAGACGATTAAATTCTAAATTATGACACATGGTATAACATATTCGAACGTTATGTTTTTGCGTCACAAAGTATCTGTAGTTTGGGATGTCTACGCAATGAAATATGTAGTATAATACTGAACAATGAATGTTATTTCGTATCACCTATACTCTTTATATAAGAGGAATATGGTATTTGAGTTTCAAGTTTATTTATGATTTTTGTTTAATAGGACTATAATATTACTACTTAATGATTTGTCATAGTAAAATCATATATAAAGCTACAGTCACATTGGAATATTATTCAGTAATGATTTAACACTATTAGTGTTGGATATTCTTTGTCACAAGTGATGTACGGAATCCTACCTATGTTTGCATAACACAATATCAGAATTTGTAAAGTACATAACTAATAAATGTTACATTCACACCTTTTAGTAAATTGTATTTAATCGTGTCTTAAATTACAGGTATTTTTTAAAATAAGTGGATAGTAAATGGTAAGATTCATATCCGATCCAATGCTTCTAACATTATCACACTGTTCCCACGGATCACCTAATAATCAAAATGTTCCAATTATTATTTACGATCGTTTAATAATACAATATTGTTTTTTCATAGAATCTTACCACCATCCCAATGTTGTTCTTTGTACCATTCTTACACTCCTCAATACTTTCGTCGATAACCATATTCATGAAAGGATCAAAACCCCGTAAAATACCAGTAACGTGTCTTCCACCATTTAGCTTCACTGTAAAAAACAATATATATTCACTATAAAAAAAATCATACCAAACTGATGTATTGAGAATAAATAAACACCAATCTCAACATACGTGACAAACGTTTGTCCATGTACCTGAAAAATATAGTAAAATATATTATATTAAAAGACGCTTTATAAAAAATAACTTATAACCCCCAACTGCCCGGCGAATCATAATTCATAGTACATTTATATATACTCACTTCTTCAGTTCTGGTGGATGTGCTTTACTCATGTTTTTTTAATGAAGTTGCCTCGCAGAAAAAACTAGTACCCTATGTGATCTATTTACTATTTTACAGCAAACTCAAAATGCTCCTCAGAATACAAACCCAAGAAATTATTCCACACCCTTCCTTCCTTCCCTTCCTTTCATTATGGCTGTATCCCCAATGGGGGACATGTGCCAGTAACTGGTCTTAATAATCGAGGTTGGAAGTTCGACACTAGATGGCGATGTACCTTGCGAGACGGGCCTTATTCAACTCAGCGTGAGGGGACCTACAAAGTTTATACACCGAATCCGAACAGTGTTGGGCGAAATCCGTATAAATGCTCACTTAAATTATTCCGCACCCCAGATAGATATTGAAATATAGGGATGGAGCACAGAGATGAGTAGGGAGATGCACAACGTTACGGTTTCAAGCGATACCAAAATCATGGCGCTAAATCGTAGCGGCGAGTCTGGAAGTAGGATTTCGTGATCATCGTCTCCGTCCACAATGCGAATTCCGTCTGGCCGAGATGAACGTGAATAGGAACGCGTAGCTTGTTCCCTGGCACGCTGGTTCCCAAAGCAACCCCTAGAACGAGACTGGGACCTATAGAACTTCTCAAAAACTATTGAAAAAACCTATTGCTGAAACATTTTTAAGACATTTTAAAGAAAGTGCAGTACCAGTTCGACACCCGTGTAGAGCTTCAATTTTTACTAAATATTATTGGATCTTAATTTACTTTCAAAATTTATTCAAAAAACAAAATTGCGGCTAAATCAACATCTCGCAGAATATACAGAGTAGATAAAAATTGAATTGAAATTGTAGAATATCGAAAATAAATTACGTTCAAATTGAAATATTAATAAATTAGGTGTTTGAAACACCAAAATAATTAGTTAAATCAATACAGTAAAATATTAACACTTAGAAATCGGAAATTCTGGCCAAGCATATTTAGAAGTACTGCAAGTTGCTCAAAATTGTGTGCGCGCAAATTCTTCGCGCAGGACTCGGCGAGAGCGAGCAGGCATATGGTGGGGGGAGCGCTCGAGGCAGTGCCTGGACTCGGAGTACTCATTCTTCTTCGAGCCGGTCTCCTATACTGGTCTCTTGGAAACACCCCTCTCATCCATTACCAACCTTCTTCTTTTTCTATATTTATTTTTTTATCCTTCATTCTTTACTTTCTCACTTATGTCTTTCCTCATTTCTTCTGTACTTTTATAACTCTACTCCTTACTTATCTACTTCTTCATTTCTATATTCATTTCTTTCTTATTTTCACTTATATCATTTCTTTCTCATTATCTTATTCTCACTTCTTTATTCCTATATCCATTTCCAACCTTCTTCTTCTTCTATATTTATTTCTTCTTTAATTCCTTATTTCCTCATCTTTCATTCTTCACTTTCTTATTTATCTCTTTCCTCATTTCTTCTCCACTTTTATAACTCTATTCCTTACTTTTCTACTTTTTAACTTCTTTATTTCTATCTTCCCTTCTGCCTTCTCGTTTACTCTGTTCCCTCTCACTTTCCATTGTGCTTGTCTTACTTTTCCTATTTCATTGGTCGGGTCGAGCATATTCATTTGAGTAGTCATATAAGAGTAGTCACCCTGTTAGTGCAGCTAGACTTAAGACCATGGTGTCGGGGGTTGCCCTTCCGCCTCTTCCGCTGAGCTTGCTCAGTGGTTGGTGGCCCAAGTTGTGGCCGCAACAGGACCTTATGGGTCTCCCGACGGGGGCCTTGAGCCCCCTTAGGGTATCTACGGCCATGGTCTTTCGTATAGTGAATCTAGCCAGGTGTCTAGCTCTCGCGTATTTAGTATCATTTGTTCGC